AATCACCCCATTTTCCCGTTCTTTTTTGTACGTGGCAGAGCTTTGCCCCAGGACGGTGACCACCTTCCCAGTCTGTGAGAAATGTGCTTTTCCCTGCCAACCCACGCCTGAAACCAGGGTGTGGAGGGAGAAACGAGGATCGGCAGGGCTGCAGGATGGAGATGAGGTGTTTTGTGAGTTCTGCGGAGAGCACCTCATGCCATCCCTCCCCTTGCCACAAAACCCATTTGCTGCCAGGCCCTCTTGGCAAGGATGAGCACTGTAATAGCAGCGCTGCTGATGGGCATCTCTCTCGCCAGTGCTCTGCTCTCTCCTGCCTGTCCACGCTCCTCTGTTGTGATCTCAACAGCCTGGCACCCTGGGGAATGAATTCAGTCAGTCCTACTAGCCCTGCATCCTGGCTGCTGCACAGTAATGCAACTTTCGGCAGAATGAGCAGGAGGGTAATGACTATTTTGCACTTCCAGGCATTGCATGGCAGAATAAGAGGTGTGTTTTGGGGTCTGGGCCAGGTTTGGGTATGACCAGCTTGGTCCACATTTCTAACTGAAGTTCCTCCTGCTGGTTGGGTGGTTACGGCTCTCCAGTCTGAGCCGGGAAAGTGCTGTACGGCTCGGTAGGTGCATTTCAGGCTGTATTGAAATAAGCTCAATACAGGCCTGAAAAGTGTAGCCGGCTCCTTAGAAGGTTGCAGGCAAGAGTAGCTGCCCTGACATGCTGGCTGGGGTCTTCATGGAGTTACTGACACATCTCTTTGCGTGTGTGTTTCATGCATAGTTTTGATGCCGGCAGTGCTGGGCACTATTGGAGGCAGGATAGCAGTTTAGTGGGATAAGGAAGGACATCAGGAATTATGTTCTGTGAAGGTTAAGGGAAGGTCCTTGGCAGCTGTTTAAATCAATTTGGGTGTTGACCCACAGCTGCTGTCTACAGGGTACAGCCAACAAAATGCGATCTTCGTCGTGCAGTGAGCTGCACGGTGTGTATTGCCTGCATCCACATAGGCTGCTGCGGAGTCACTTTTTCGGTACCTGCTGAGCACGTGCTTAAGAGGTGAGTGCATCTGACTGAGGGAGCGTGGAGGATGTGGGATGTGGCATGGCCTCAGCAGAGAGGTGGAAATGAGACATGTGGAAGTGTGAGAGGGGATGTTGCTCAGACCTACGGGTTGTTCCTGGCAGCAGTAATGAGACTTCATAAGAAAAAACAGAACAAGAAGTAGGTGACATAAAATGTTTGGCATTGACCATTGTTTCTTATCTATTGCTGGTACCAGATCTGAATGCAAAAGGAGCAAAGTTCACTTTTCCAATCCAAGTTCTTTTTCCTTTTGTAGGAAAGAAATCAGAGCAGTGGGAGCTGGTTTTAAATGCAGCAGTGGTGAGCTGGGGCAGTGAAGAATTGTGAGGCTCTATCTAAGTGCATGTGCTTTGGTGGAATTTGTCCCCGTAGCTGCAAAGTGGAAGGCGCACGCTCCTAAGAAGCCGTGGAGTTGGGCTGAAATCTGCAGCATGTTTCCCAGATGTCTTTGCCATCATAGGAGAGGGACAGGTTGAGAGGGACAAACACTTTCTGGAGTTGCTGTGGGAGAAGGATCTGGCTGTGCTGTACAAATGTGTAAGGTGAAAGCACATCTGATGCCTTGCCCTGAAACAATTCTGCCCCTATGGCGGAGAAGTAGGCAGGAGAAAGACCAAGCAGATAATTACTGGTTTGCACTCCTGGTATTGCATGCCAGAATAAGAGGTGTGTTTTGGGGTCTGGGCCAGGTTTGGGTATGACCAGCTTGGTCCACATTTCTAACCGAAGTTCCTCTTGCTGGTCAGGTGGTTATAGGTCTCCAGGCCGAGCTGGAAAAGCGCTGTACAGCTTGGTAGGTGCATTTCAGGCAGCAGTGCAGTAAGCTCAACACGGGCCTGAAAGTGTAG